GCTGCTGCTGATGATGACGACACGGATGATGCTGCTGCTGATGAGGATGATGATTATGATGATGATAATGTTGATGTTGATGCTGATGATGATGCGGATGATGGTGATGGTATTGTTGCGGTGGTGGTCGTGGTGGTTGTTGTTGTTTTCGTTGCTGTTGCTGTTGCTGCTGCGATTATTGCTGTTGTTGTTGCTGTTGTTGTTGCTGGTGTTGTTGTGGTTCTTGTTGTTGATGTTGTTATAGTTGGTGATTGTGGTGTTGTTGATGATGATGCTGTTGATGATGCTGCCTATGATGATGAGGATGAAGATGCTGATGTTGTTGATGATGATGATGCTGATGACGATGCTGATGATGATGCTGTGATGCTGCTGCTGCTGATGCTGATGATGATGCTGATGCTGATGCTGATGCTGATGATGATGCTGATGATGATGACGATGATGATGATGATGATGATGATGATGCTGATGATGATGATGATGATGATGATGATGATGATGATGATGTTTTTGATGACGCTGATGCTGAGGATGATGCTGATTATGATGCTATGATGATGATAATGACGATGATGCTGCTGATGATGCTGATGATGATGACGATGATTCTGATGATGATGACAAGGGGGAGGACCTCCTCCTCCTCCTTCCCTTGCAAGAGGGGGAGGCGCCAGTCGCTGCCGACCTCTGCAGCACGCTCCGCCTTCTGGGATCTCAAGCGAGAGCCACATTCTGGACAGGAGCCACCCTCGAGCATTGTAGTTGTCACACACTTTAGGGCGAATGTGCGCAGCGCTAACGCGAGATCCCCATACTGAAAGCTTCCATTCTTGTAGCTGCTGCAGGTATTCAAGACGGATGTGCGCGGCGCGAAGGCGATATCCGCTATTGTGAAAACGGTTCGTCCTCCGTCCTTGTGGCTGCGGCAAGCTTATAAGGCGAACCCGCGCGTTGCATGCGGCTCCCCCACCATCCTTGTAAGTGTGCGCGGCGCTAAGGCGAAACCCCATTTTGAAAACCACCCCTCTCCTTCCTTAGAAGCGTTGCGAGCTCTTGGGGCGACTGCTCGCGGCCCTCATTCGAGTTTTTTTGGGTTTTTTTGTTATATGTTTTCTCTCTTTTCCCCAATCAGACCTTGCCTCTTGTAGGGGTCCTGGCGGATTCATATGGTCAGGTTAGCTGCGTCGCCGATTTCGGCGGCTCGCCCGGGTGCTCGGGTGCCCGGGTGCCCCATAGCCCTACAGCCCTATAGCCCTATAGCCCTACAGCCCTACAGCACGATAGCCCTATACCCTACAGCCCAATAGCCCAATAACCCTACAGCCCTATAGCCCTATAGCCCTATTGCCCTGTAGCCCTGTAGCCCTATAGCCCTCTACCCATCTAGCCCTCTAGCCCTCTAGCCCTCTAGCCCTCTAGTCCTCTAGCCCTCTAGCCCTCTAGCCCTATAGGCCTCTACCCCTCTAGCCCTGTAGCCCTCTAGCCCTATAGCCCTATAGCCCTATAGCACTATGGCCCAATAGCCCTGTAGCCTTACAACCCATTGACCCTATAGCCCTATAGCCCTGTAGCCCCATAGTCCTGAACCCCATTGGCCCCACAGCCCAACAGCCCAACGGCCCTGGAGCCCTCCAGCCCTCTAGCCGTACAGCCCCACAGCCCCATAGCCCTATATCCCTATAGCCCCATAGCCCCAAACAATTCTGATTGGCGTTTCGCTCTGGTACCAGTTTTTTTTGTCAAAGCGGTCCGCCCTCCATCCTTGTTGCTGTCGCAAATGTCAAGCTTCAGGGTCATAGCCGGTGCGGAAGCCTCGGGCGGAACGCCCAGCCCGCCATAACAGACACGTCTGGGGACGCGACTGGGAGGAGGATAGCGAGGAGGTGAGCAGATGTTCGTGCGCTTCGCGCAAGTCTGATTCTTTGAGGGAGGAGGGATGAGGACGATAATGAGGAGGAAGAGGAGGAGGAAGATGAGGAGGAGGAGGACCAGTGTAAACCCAAGAGTCATCAACGATTTTGGAGTAAACCCTCCCTCCAAGCTCCCTCTTCATAGGCCCCATACAAGAGTTCATTTCCACTGAGGAAACTGCCTCGTTGGACGACAACCGTTTGAAGACCTTGAAGCATGCCAGCACATCATCCTCGGGACTCCAGCGCCACGGATCAACCTGACTGTTGCGTCTGAACGATCCTGAATCGTGCCAGGACGCCATTCTTGGGACTCCAACACCGTGAATCAACGTAACTTTTGCACCCTCATAATCCTGAATCGTTCCAGATCGCCATTTCTGGTACGTTGACCATGGGAACCCGTGAAACTCTTGCAAAGTTCAAAAACGAATATGCGCAGCGCTAAGGCGAGAGCAACATTTTGAAAACGAGCCACCCTGAACCCGTGCAACTCTTACAATTTTTAAACAGAATGTGCGCGGCGCTAAGGCGAAAACCACATTTTGAAAACGAGCCACCCTGAACCCGTGAAACTCTTACAATTTTTAAACAGAATGTGCGCGGCGCTAAGGCGAAAGCCACATTTTGAAAACGAGCCGCCCTGAATCCGTGAAACTCTTGCAAATGTTTAAAGCGAGTGTGCGCGGCGCTAAGGCGAACGTCACATTTTGAAAACGACCCGCTCTATTTTTGTGAAGCTGTTGCCAATGTTCATGCTTCAGGGCCATAAGTGGTGGGGTAATTTCAGGCAAACGCCCGGCCCGCCCTTTCGACCGGCCTCGGGGTGCGACAGAGAGAAGTTATTTAAGGAAAGGAGGAAATGACGCAGCATGCACAGGAGAAGGGGGAGCAGAGGGGGAGAGGAGAGAGGGGATGATGGGGAAGGCGGGGGAGCGCCACGTGGGCAACGCTGGCATGGTTTGGGGACGTGCTCACTGTCCGAACTCTTGTCCCTGAAACCTTCAAGAAACACATCATAAGAAAGAAGAACATGTGGAGAGGCGGGCTGGAACCTACAACAGCAGTTCCTGCCAGGCCTGTACAAGTCCTTCCGCGCCTCCTGCACTTGCGGAGGTTCGGAGACAAGAGAGGGGCGCGCGGTGGGTCCTGTCCCCACGGCGCCACTCACTGACGACGGGGAGGCGGACCGAGGAGGCGGGAACAGGGGTTAGGAAAGGTGAGAGGTTCGAGGATCGTTGATTTTATTATGTTTGGGGCCTCCAGGGGCGCCGTCGTTGGAAAGTCTGGATCCGCCATGCAGTTCTGGGCAGAACGCACTCACCAGCTTCTCCAGAGAGGGGAGGAGTGGATGGATGGAAAGGGGTGAGCCGGGAGAGGAGCATGAACGGGATACCAAGCGATATCAGAGGATGAGGATGATGTTGACGTTGCAGCTGATGGTGAGGCTGGTGGTGATAATACTGAGGATGACATTGAGGAGGATGCTGCTGATGATGATGACGATCATGCTGATGCGACGGTGATGACTACGATGATTCTATTGCTGCCGATACCGATGCTAGCAGTTATACTGGTGGTGATGATGATGAGGAGGAGGGGGAGGGACGCGAGGGATTACCATGATTGGTGGTGGTGATGATCTGCATCATTTCGATGACGCTGATGATGAAGACGACGATCATGAGTATGCTGCTCCTGCTGATGACGCACCATCTGATGACGGAGATCGTGATCACGATGATGCGGACTGATATATGAGGAGGGGGATAAGTGAGAGTAGCAGGAACTACACGAATGATGTGGATGATAATGACATGGAGAACATGGGGAGGGGAGGGCTGGAAGGAGGGATGACGGATGAGGGATGCTGATGATCATGATGATGTTGTTGATGATGATGATATTGACGCTGATGACTATGACAATGATGATGCTGCTGCTGATCATGATGATCCTGATGATGCTGATGGTGATGGTGATGATGATATTGCTGCTGCTGCTGATGCTGCTGCTGATGATGGTGGTGATGATGAGGATGATGACGGTTGTGATTGTGATTTTGATGGTGGTGGTGGTGTCAGCGATGATGGGGCAACAGAGGTAGTATTGGCGATACGTAAGGTGGGGGTGAGGAGGAGGAGAAGTTGACGTAGGCGAATCATGACAATAAGCATGGTGATATTAATATTAATAAAGTTAACGATCTTAAGTATACTACTACTATTAATACGTGTAATAGTACTATTCGTAATACTAGTAGTACTTTTAATCTTATTAGTAATATGACCATTATGAAAATACGAAGAAGACGAATAAGATGGAAGAGGAGGAGGAGGAGGAAGAAGTGAGAAACTATGACACTCTGTAGTGACCTTCGTCCCATCGTGCCACCGTGCCTGGGACGTGGGCAAGGCGCTTCTTAACGGTCTCTTCTCTCGGGACGCCTCTTCGGGGCCTTTTGGATGTCTCTTTGAGGCCTCTTGGGGTCTATTGAAGGTCTTTTAGGTGTCGCCTGGTGGCCTCTTGTGGGCCTCTTGTGGGCCTCTGTGGGCCTCTTCGGCTTGTGACCCTTGAGGGCTCAGCTGTCGTCATCGTCCGTCTTGAGCGCTCTTCAGACCTAAAGTCATACAATGCTGGGCAGCATTATGCAACAATCAGTGTGTTTTTAAATTGTGAACTCTTAGGTCAGCTCCCCGGGCCTCCGATACGTCTCAAGAGGCCCCCAAGAGATCCCCAGGACGGTCACAGGTGGCCATCTTAGGACACGTGGGAAAGGGCAGACTTCCCACCACGCCCCTGAGGCCTCTGGAACAGCAGCAAGGCGATTTTCCAGAATCGCCCCCCAGTGCGCCCGTGATCTGGGGTTCTGGGGCCCTTCATTTTTCAATTTTGAGGATTCTGTGGGGCCTGGCGACACCCAACTCATTGACTGGCGGCACGGTGGTGGGTCGATGACGACGACGATGTTGTTGTTGATGATGATGGTGATGATGATGATGATTATGATGATGATGATGATGATGATGATGATGATGATGATGATGATGATGATGATGATGATGATGATGATGATGATGATGATGATTATTGATGATGATGATGATGCTGATGATGAGGCTGCTGCTGATGATGCTGCTGATGATGCTGATGACGATGACGATGACGATGACGATGATGATGATGATGATGATGATGATGATGATGATGATGATGATGATGATGATGATGATGATGATGATGATGATGATGATGATGATGGTGATGACGATACTGATGATGATGATGAGGAGGAGGAGGAGGAGGATGGTGATGATGATGTTGATGAGGAGGACTATGATGAGGATGTAATGCGTGAGTGAGTGAGGGAGGTTGTGGAGGAGGAGGAGGAGGAGGACCAGAGTAGACCCGCATGCATCTACCATGCTGAAGCACACCCTCCCGTCCCAGGTCTCTTCCGCATGGTCCCCACAGGCATTCTTCTTCACTGCGGGACCCGCCCCCTAGGATGACGGGCACTCCGTAGGTCTGCCATTCGGGCGGCAGCCTGGCTTTGCAGTGGAGTTGCACCGCATCCTCTTCGCTGCAAGCATCCTTCTCGCCACGAGGAACGCGACGAGGTAGGACCATCGCGTTCCAGGGACTACCCGACGAGAACCCCGTCCTCGAGACGAGCCGCCCTGCTGCCGTGTGTTTGTTGCGTAGCTTTATGCGCATTGCTAGATGTTCAGGAACTCTCCCCCGGTCCGAAATTTGGGGATGCGTAGGGCCTTCGGGTTGGGTGGAGGAGGAGCGAGCGGAGGAAGAGGAGGAGGAGGAGGAAGGAGCGAGGACGAGGAGGATGGAGAGGAGGAGGAGGAGGAGGAGGAGGAGGAGGAGGAGGAGGAGGAGGAGGAGGAGGAGGAGGTGAGCCTCCTGTTGACAAGGAGCCGCCCTTTGCCCGTGCAGCTGCTACACGTGTCTTGCGCTCTTCTGGCTGCTCTTGGTGGGCGACGCTCTTCAGGAGGGAAGGCTCACAAAGACACACACAAGCGCCGATTCCCAGGAAAACATGGGAACACATGGGAAGTGGAAGGGGAAGAAGAAAGTCAAGAAGATAGGCGGACTTTGGGGTATCATCCTGGGCCTCCTCTGAACTTTCAGCAGGAGCCCCATTTTGGACCTGTCTGGGAACACGTAGGACGAGCTTATGCGCACCGCTGTCGCGGGAGCCCCGTCTTGGAATGGCCGCCCGCCAGCTTGAGAACCGGTGGACGCTTTTCAGACGAGTGTGTGCGGCGCTACGGCGAGACCGCCCCATTCCGAGAACGGCCTGCCTTCCGTCTTTGTGAGACCTGCTTTTGCTTTGAGGCTAATGTGCGCGGCCTCACATCGAGATCTCCATTTTGAACGCCTGTCCTCCATCCTTGCAGCTGGTTTCCAAGAGGAATGTGCGCGGCGTGAGGGCGAGATTGCCATTTTGAAAACGATTCATCCCCCGTCCGTGTGGCCGTTGTAAACGTTCAAGCTTCAGGAGTATGAGTGGTGAGGAAGTCTCTGGCGAAAAGCCAGGCCCGCGCTACTCTCGCGTTTGGTGGTGCAACGTGGGTTTGCTAGTTGGACGCGGAGGAGCTATTCAGGAGGACGGTATTGAGGGGGAGGATGAGGTTGAGAAGGGGGAGGAGGAGGAGGAGGAGGAGGAGGAGGAGGAGGAGGAGGAGGAGGAGGAGGAGGAGGAGGAGGAGGAGGAGGAGGAGGAGGAGGAGGAGGAGGAGGAGGAGGAGGAGGAGGAGGAGGAGGAGGAGGAGGAGGGGGGGGGAGGAGGAGGAGGAAGAGGAGGAGGAGGAGGAGATGTGAGGAAGAGGAGGAGGAGGAGGAGGAGGAGGATGAGGAATACTACTAAGAATAATAGTAATAATAATAATACTAAGAGTATTACTAATAATAATACTAATACTAATAATAAGAATACTAATGCTGACACGAATAAGGCGACTGAAAATCATAATAGGAATACGAATACTAATATTACTAGTAAGAAGAATAAGACGAATACAAACAACACTAATTCTACGAATACGACGAATAATACTACGCACACTACTACGAATACTAACAATAATAATAGTACTAGGGAGAATACTAAGAATTCGAATACTGATAACATTGACACGACGAATACGACTACTAATACAAGCACTACTAAGAATTCTAATAATACTAATACTAGGAATACGAATAATACTAATACGAACACTACGAATAACAATAATCCGAGTACTATTAAGAAAACTAAGAATATTACTACTGAGAAGAATATTAATAATCAGACTAATAATAATACGAAGACGAAGAAGAAGAGGAGGAGGAGGAGGAGAAGGAAGACGAGGAGGAGGAGGAGGACGAGGAGGGAGGAGGAGGACGAGGAGGAGGAAGATGATGAGGTGTGAGGAGGAGGAGGAAGAGGAGGAGGAGGAGGAGGAGGAGGAGGAGGAGGAGGAGGAGGTGTGAGGAGGAGGGATGATGAGGATGAGGATGATGTGGTGCCGTTTGTGGTGATCATGATGATGATCATGTGTAGGAGTACGAGGAAACAGAGGAGACAGAGAAGGAACGATGACGAACCGACGACGACGAGTCCAACTCTTCCCGTGGACCTATCATAGCGCGTCCTGATCAGGATCTCGAGGCGAATCCAGCTGTGGTGACGCGGGGCCCCCTCCCATCAGGCCCAGACAGGGGGACTCCCACCCTTTTCCTCTCTTTCCTGGAACAGGGCCAGGTGAGGGCCTCATCCTCCCCCCCACCAACTCATCATCATGATCACCATCACCACAATCATCTCCACCAGGCCCTCATCCTCCTCCGCCTTCTCTTCATCATTACCATCACTCCTCCTCCTCACTCCTCCTCTTCGAGAAAGGGCGTGTGGCGAGCTTCAGTCGCCCTCCTCGTCTTCCTCCGTCTCCTCCTTCCTTCAGCCCCCCAGAAAGCTTTTATGCCTTCGAAGGCCTCCCCGACCCCTCGAGTCGGCTCCTCGTCGTCGTCGTCGTCGTCGTCGTCGTGGTCGTGGTCGAGGTCGTGGTCGTGGTCGTCGTCGTCGTCGTCGTCGTCGTCGTCGCCCTCTTCGTCCTATTCCTCCTACTCCTCGAGAGTCAAGGGGGGGCACGAGGGCGTGCACATGAACCAGAAGACGGGCCAGCTGTTCACGCCCGAGGACCCCCAGGGGGAGCCCGTCGGTCGCTCGAATGGGCGGGGGAGGCCAGCCTGACCTCGCTCCCCTCCGCCCCCAGGGACGTCCAGAGGTGCTCTCGTGCCTCGCGCCGGCACGCCAGAGGCCCTGCGATGCACAGCGATGCACAGCGATCGAGGAGGAGGAGGAGGAGGAGGAGGAGGAGGAGGAGGAGGAGGAGCAGGAGGAGAGGAGGAGGAGGAGGAGGAGGAGGAGGAGGAGGAGGAGGAGGAGGAGGAGGAGGAGGAGGCGGAGGAGGAGGAGGAGGAGGGAGGAGGAGGGAGGAGGAGGAGAGGAGGGAGGAGGTGAGGAGGAGGAGCTGTGAGGCGGAGGAGGAGGAGGAGGAGGAGGAGGAGGAGGAGGAGGAGGGAGGAGGAGGAGGAGGAGGAGGAGGAGGAGGAGGAGGAGGAGGAGGAGCAGGAGGAGGAGAGGAGGAGAGGAGGGAGGAGGAGGAGAGGAGGAGGAGGAGAGGAGGAGGAGGAGGAGGAGGAGGAGGAGGAGGAGGAGGAGGAGGAGGAGGAGGAGGAGGAGGAGGAGGAGGAGAGGAGAGAGGAGGAGAGGAGGCGGAGGAGGAGGAGGAGGAGGAGGAGGAGGAGGAGGAGGAGGAGAGGAGGAGGAGGAGGAGGGAGGAGGAGGAGGAGGAGGTGGAGGAGGAGGAGGAGGTGTGAGGAGGAGGAGGAGGAGAGGAGGAGGAGGAGGAGGAGGAGGAGGAGGAGGAGGAGGAGGAGGAGGAGAGGAGGAGGAGGAGGAGGAGGAAGGAGGAGGAGGAGGAGGAGGGAGGGGAGGAGGAGGAGGGAGGAGGTGTGAGGAGGAGCTGTGAGGCGGAGGAGGAGGAGGAGGGAGGGAGGAGGAGGAGGAGGGAGGAGGAGGAGGAGGAGGAGGAGGAGGAGGAGGAGGAGGAGGAGGAGGAGGGAGGAGGAGGGAGGAGGAGGGAGGAGGAGGGAGGAGGAGGGACCGCCATCGACCCACATGCAACCATACGTGCAGATTCGCGAGGTCTTGAAACGTCCTGATGGCTTTGTTTCCCGCAACCTGTCAACCTCCAGCGGCTGCCTTGGAGGCCCCGCACTCGGAGGACACGGGTGCGCTCTGCCTCGGCCTCCCCTTCCTCCCGTCGACCAGGCCAGGCCCCCAGCGTCTGGAGACATCGTGACGGTGCCGTCTCCGGGCACCCGCCCACCTTCGGGGGCCCGCCCTGCCTGCCCACACGCCGACCTCGACCACCCCTCCTTGGTGGGCGGAGGCCCACCCGCGCTGGCCCCGCAGGCTCCGCCCCCGGCGGACGCGGGCGCGCCCTGCCTCGGCCGCCCCTCCGCCCGACCCCAGGCCCCCGGCGTCTTGAAGCGTCGCGATGGTCTCGTCTCCAGGCACCTGCCCACCTCCAGGGGGCCCGCCCGCGCTGGCCTCGGAGGCCGCGCCCCCGGCGGGCACGCAGGTCCTCAGCGTCGTGAAGCGTCGTGACGGTCTTGTGTCCCGCACCTGGCCAGCCTCCAGGGGCCCTTCGCGGGCTCTGGGAGTGACAGGCCAGTCCCCGGGAACGGGTCGAGAGGCCCAGGGGGCACGCGCAGCAGAAGATCAGGACGTCGGAATTTTGGGGCCCCGGGGAGTGTGTGGGGAGGGTGTCCGGCGTCGTCAGACGTCTGCCGTCTGCGGACGTCCGAAGTTCTGTCTGTGCCTTTCCTGTCTCGTCGGCCGATGCCCCCCCAGACTCTCGGACCGAGGGGGCTCGAGAGGGGGCCCACTGAGGGGCACGGAGGCACCAAAGATCTCCTAGAGGCGATTGCGCATTCATAGAACTTGTGCGTGGCGGTTGCGCCGCGTTGACGCGGCGGCGACGGTGGCGTCAGGCGTCACGAGTTGAACGCCCTCGGGGTCTCGTGCCGATCCACGACGCGGCGAGGCCGAGAGACTCGTGGGACCCCCGGCAGCGGGTATGGTTCAGGGCGGAGCGGTGCGCGCGGTGTCGGAAACCAGGGCAGGGCAGGAAGTCTTGACGCTCACAGTGCCCAGGCGGGTTGTCTTGAGAAGGGAAACGGAGGAGCATGCAGTCCAGGTCCAGGGGAGGGGGTATGGGAGAGGGGGACCCCCCCCTGAAGGGGAAGAAGGGGGTTGGAAGAGGAGCCTCCCTAGACCACCTACGCCCAGAGAGCTGGTGGAACTTGTTGTTCACTGAGCGGAGTCTCTGTCTGTCTCTTCAGGGCCATCCTCCCTGGACGGGCGCTGCATGCCAAGACTGCTCCCCTCTCCCTCGTGTCCAGGCTTGCTTGTGCCCGTCCATCCCGCAGATCTCCCGCCTCCAAGGCTCGGGCCGCCTATCTGACGTGATCCTCTCGTCTCGTGCGGGCCTTGTCCGCTGAAGTGGCCAGCTGCGTCTGTCCCTCGAGCAGGTCGCGAGTTTCGAAGAACAGGAAACGGCATAAACATAAGCGTTCGACGCTCCGCGCGGATTCATTGGATCTGCGCTGGCCCCCTCCCCCGGCGGCGCCTCCGGCACCGCCCCTGGCTGGCGCGCTCCGCGCGCCAGGGGGGGGGGTCGAGCGCAGATCCAAGAAATCCGCTCGGCGCGTTGAAAGCTTAGGTAGATGTAGTGTTTTCTTCTTCTAGGGTTGCTGCCAGTCGTGCAGAACTGGTACAAGCAATTGTCACGGCCGCCAAGGCCAGCGGTGGTGCGTTCTGGGTGCGTTCGCTGGATGAGTACCTGTTTGAGCTGTTCTGCTGAAGGCGCAGCGTGATGACGCATCGGCGATCCGACACAGATGCTGTGTGAGGCGCCCGTGAGGGTCACCTTCGGGGTGAACCGGTGGCTCCACGGGTTGGTTGCTGTGCCCATGAGCTATCGCCGTGGTCTGACTGTCACAGTCTGCTTACATGTGTGCTGCAGTTCTCCCTGGAACGCTCCATCGAGCCTGGTTTTTCTCTCAGCTCTACGTGTGTGTCCAGGGTGAGGTGCAGTGATGATCTGGTGGCTTTTTCGGAATTCCTCGTTTCGCCCAGAGCCCTCCGTGGGCTTGATGGCGATGACTGGCCTGATGTCTGGACCGCGGAGCTCCTCTGGACCGCTAGGCCGTCGAGCGGCCCTGTGTGTGTGTGTGTTGGAGGTCGGATGCGTGGTGCGCACACATGCTCTGATTTGTTTTTGCGCGCTTGGCGTGTGCATGCTCATATTTCCGCAGCTATGCGGTCCACCAAGATCACTCGATGGCTCGCATCCATGCTGATGTCTGCAAGAGGAAGGCTCCTCAAGCTGATTTTGTCTAATTCGGGCGTTTCGGATGGGCTCGTTGAGTGGATGCCAGTATGAGTTGTTCGTAGACAGGCGCAGCGTGATGACGCATCGGCGATCCGACACAGATGCTGTGTGAGGCGCCCGTGAGGGTCACCTTCGGGGTGAACCGGTGGCTCCGCGGGTTTGTTCTTGTGCCCATGAGCTATCGCCGTGGTCTGACTGTCACAGTCTGCTTACATGTGTGCTGGAGCTCTCCGTGGAACGCTCCATCGAGTCTTGTTTTTCTCTCAGCTCTACGTGTGTGTCCAGGGTGAGGTGCAGTGATGATCTGGTGGCTTTTTCGGAATTCCTCGTTTCGCCCAGAGCCCTCCGTGGGCTTGATGGCGATGTCTGGCCTGATGTCTGGACCGCGGAGCTCCTCTGGACCGCTTGGCCGTCTAGCGGCCCTGTGTGTGTGTGTGTGTGTACGTTGGAGGTCGGATGCGTGGTGCGCACACTCATGCTCTGATTTGTTTTTGCACGCTTGGCGTGTGCATGCTCATGTTTCCGCAGCTATGCGGTCCACCAAGATCACGCGATGGCTCGCATCCATGCTGATGTCTGCAAGAGGAAGGATCCTCAAGCTGATTTTGTCTAATTCGGGCGTTTCGGATGGGCTCGTTGAGTGGATGCCAGTATGAGTTGTTCGTAGACAGGCGCAGCGTGGTGACGCATCGGCGATCCGACACAGATGCTGTGCGAGGCGCCCGTGCGGGTCACCTTCGGGGTGAACCGGTGGCTCCACGGGTTTGTTCTTGTGCCCATGAGCTATCGCCGTGGTCTGATTGTCACAGTCTGCTTACACGTGTGCTGGAGCTCTCCGTGGAACGCTCCATCGAGCCTTGTTTTTCTCTCAGCTCTACGTGTGTGTCCAGGGTGAGGTGTAGTGATGATCTGGTGGCTTTTTCGGAATTCCTCGTTTCGCCCAGAGCCCTCCGTGGGCTTGATGGCGATGTCTGGCCTGATGTCTGGACCGCTGAGCTCCTCTGGACCGCTTGGTCGTCTAGCGGCCCTGTGTGTGTGTGTGCGTTGGAGGTCGGATGCGTGGTGCGCACACATGCTCTGATTTGTTTTTGCACGCTTGGCGTGTGCATGCTCATGTTTCCGCAGCTATGCGGGCCACCAAGATCACGCGATGGCTCGCATCCATGCTGATGTCTGCAAGAGGAAGGATCCTCAAGCTGATTTTGTCTAATTCGGCCGTTTCGGATGGGCTCGTTGAGTGGATGCCAGCATGAGTTGCTCGTTGACAGGCGCAGCGTGATGATGCATCGGCGATCCGACACAGATGCTGTGCGAGGCGCCCGTGCGGGTCACCTTCGGGGTGAACCGGTGGCTCCACGGGTTTGTTCTTGTGCCCATGAGCTATCGCCGTGGTCTGATTGTCACAGTCTGCTTACATGTGTGCTGGAGCTCTCCGTGGAACGCTCCATCGAGCCTTGTTTTTCTCTCAGCTCTACGTGTGTGTCCAGGGTGAGGTGCAGTGATGATCTGGTGGCTTTTTCGGAATTCCTCGTTTCGCCCAGAGCCCTCCGTGGGCTTGATGGCGATGTCTGGCCTGATGTCTGGACCGCTGAGCTTCTCTGGACCGCTTGGCCGTCGAGCGGCCCTATGTGTGTGTGTGTGTGTGTGTGTTTGTTGGAGGTCGGATGCGTGGTGCGCACACATGCTCTGAATTTTGGGCTTACGCTGCACCGCCAACCCCTTGGGGAACTGGCGGTTGTTGTGTGTTGCTCCTGAGGGCCTTTTGTGCGCTGTTGGGGGGCTTCTCGGAGCTCTTTTGGGGCTTCATGGGGGCCTCGTGGGGGCCTTTCCAGGGCCTCTCGTGCTGACACTCTCAGTGTTCGCCGTGCACGCGTGGGGAAACGGGCGAGAGCCCACGTATACTGACGGCGGGCATCTGCCAAAACACCAGAATAATCATTATCGAAGACGCCTACGGTGAATCACCGCCGCCCCCTGCCTTTTTGGAAGCGCCTATGTGGCCGAACGTTGAGGCCAGACCTGCCAAGTTATCGGACCATATGTTCCCCAAATCGGTTTGGAAAGCCTTCGGGGAACACGTGGGCATCTTGAAAGTCATCTTGGCCGCCTGGAGGCCATTTTGACCCTTTGGGGCCTGCTTGGAGGACGTCTTGGAGGACTCTTAGGCCGTCTTGGAGACCATCTTGAGCATCTTGGAGGCCTCTTGGACCGTCTTGGGGGCCTCTTGGGGCCGTCTTGGGTCTCTTGGGCGATCTTTGGGGGCACTTGGGCCGTCTCGGGCCATCGGAAGGCCGACAAAAAAGCAAATGCCACAATCCTTCGACAACTCATGGAAGATCCATGATTTTGGCCTTTTCGGGCCTTCCTGGAGGCCCACTTGGAGGCCTCTTGGGCCGTCTTGGGCCATCTTAGTGCCATCTTCGGCCGTCTTGGTGGGCCTCTGGCCCGTCCGACGCCGTCGGAAGCCGTTTGGGGGGCCTCTCTGAGCCGATTTGGGGCCCTTTTGGAATGTGCTCCAGGGCCGTCTTGGAGGCCATCTTGGGCGTCTTAATAGCCTCCTGCCTGGGCCGTCTTGGGGGCCTCTTGGGGCCGTCTTGGGGGCCTCTTGGGCCGTTCTGGGGCCATCTTGGAGGCCTCTTGGGCGATCTTTGGGCGATCTTTGGGGGCTTTGGGCCGTATCGGGCCGTCGGAAGGCCGAAACGAAGCAAATGTCAAAATCCTTCAAAACATATGGAACATGAGTGTTTTTGGCTTTTTCTAGTCTTCTTGGAGGCCCTCCTGGAGGCCTCTTGGTCCGTCTTGGGCCAGCTTCGAGCCAACTTCGGCCATCTTGGTGGGCTCCTGGCCCGTCTGACGCCGTCGGAAGCCGTTTGGGTGGCCTTTCTGGGCCGACTTGGGGCCCTCTTGGGGTGCTTCAGGGCCGTCTTAGAGGCCATCTTGGGCGTCTTGGGTCGTCTTTGTGCCCTCTTGGGGCCGTCTTGGGGGCCTCTTGGGCAGTCCTGAGGCCATCTTGGAGGCCTCTTGGGCGCTGTGGGGGCGATCTTGGGGGCCTCTTGGACCGTCTTGGGTCGTCGGAAAGCCGAGAAGAAGCGAATGCCAAAATCCTTCAAACACCTCAGGAAAATCAATGATTTTGGCCTCTTCGGGCCCTCCAGGAGGACCTCTTGGAGCGTCTGGGAGGCCTCTTGGGGGCCTCTTGGGCCGTCTTAGGCCATCTTGAGGCTATCTTGGGCCGTCTTGGGTGCATCTTGGGCCGTCTTGGATGCATATTGGGGCCATCTTAGCCGTCTTGGAAGCCATCTTGGGCCATCTTGGGCCATCTTGGGGCCGTCTGGGGCAGGAAAACCATTTGTAACCGGGTCTTCTGGGTGGCCAGCGGGACGCGCCGGAGCGCTGGGAGTTCTTTTGGAAAAGAACCAAAACCCAAACCGAAATCATCTAGCACGCCAGGCACCCCTGCGATGAATCGACAGGGGGCGGCGGATCGTCAAAACACCCGAAGAATCATTATCGAAGACGCCTACGGCGAATCACCGCCGCCCCCTGCCTTTGTGGAAGCGCCTATGTGGCCGAACGTTGAGGCCAGACCTGCCAAGCCATCGGACCATGTGTTCCCCGAATCGGTTTGGAAAGCCTTCGGGGAACACGTGGGCGTCTTGATGGTCATCGTCGCCGTCTTGGAGGCCTCTTGGGCGATCTTTCGGCGATCTTTGGGGGCTCTTGGGCCGTCTCGGGCCGTCGGAAGGCCGAAAAAAGGGAAATGCCCAAATCCATCAAAAACCTTGGGAAAATCAGTGATTTTGGCATCTTTTGGCCTTCCTGGAGGCCCTCTTGGGGGCCTCTTGGGCCCTTTTGGGCCAGCTTCGAGCCAACTTCGGCCATCTTGGTGGGTTCCTGGCACGTCTGACGCCGTCGGGAGCCGTTTTGGGGGCCTTTCTGGGCCAACGGGGGACCCTCTTGGGGCGCTCCAGGGCCGTCTTGGAGGCCATCTTGGGCGTCTTGGAGGCCATCTTGGGCGTGTTGGAGGCCTCTTGGGCCGTCTTGGGGCCCTCTAGGGGCCATCTTGGAGGCCACTTGGGCCATCAGGGGCTCTCTTGGGGGCCTCTTGGGCGATCTTGGGGGCTTCTTGGGCCGTCTCGAGCCGTCGGAGAGCCGAAAAGGCGCAAATGCCAGAATCCTTCAAAAACCAAGGAAAAATCAATGATTTTGGCCTCTTCGGACTCTCCTGGAGGACCTCTTGGAGGCCTCTTGGGCCGTCTGGGAGGCCTCTGGGGGGCCTCTTGGGCCGTCTTGGGCCGTCTTGGACTCTCTTGGGCCGTTTTGGAGGCCGTCTTGGACCATCTCGGGCGGACTTGGAGGCCATCTTGGGCCATCTTCGCGATTTTTTGAGGATGTCCCGAGCGAAACGGCCGTTCTTGGAGGATTTTTTGCGGTCGTTGAGCACGTTTGGGAAAATTCCGGGTGGCCGG